GAGGGAGGGTTCGTGGCGCGCTCCGCGCGGGTGAGTGGGGCCGCGTATGGGCCCGGCGGGCAGGGCTGAGGGGCGAAGAGGCTTCCTCGGGGCGGGCCGGCGGCTGCGGGGCGGGAGCGGGAGCTGCTCGGCTCGGGGCGGCGGAGGCGGCTGAAGCCGCTGGGAAGGGCTCGCCACGGAGGGGATTAAGCGCTAGGGCCTGAGCTGGGCAAATCCTGGCGGCTCCTCGGGTTGTTCCTGGGCTGTAAATGTGTGAAAAGGTCCTGGGCGCTGAAAAGGCGGCAGTGTCGGCGTCCAGGAGCGTGTTTAAATAGTGCGGGGACAAGCTAGCAAGATGCTGTAACATGAAGCAGGGCTGTGCTAAGGCAGCGCCCGAGAATCCCAAATTAAATTTCAGGCCAGAGACACGGCTGCCTCGTAGCAAGGTAGAAATGCTGAGATTGTTGGTTGAGAACAGCGAGTTATTTATTCATTCAATGGTAAAATTCATACAGGTGCTCGATAGGTTAAGGTGAACTTTTGAGTTTTGGTCGACTGATTTTTGTAAGCTGTCAGAATAGCTTAGGTATCTTGGAATTGCCTTAGCTGGGTCAAACCAAAGGGGAAGAGGGATGATACATTGAGATGTCTGTAAATACAAAGCTTGGATATTTCCCTGAAAGTGAACTGTTCCTCCAAGTGATCCGTGCGTATACGGACACAGTGATTATATAACCGTATTTATGCTTGTGGAATTGCTGTAAAATATGAAGATTGTGACTACTGCTGTGACATCCATGTGAGAAAATTGAACTGAACTTTATTGCAAGTCATGGCCCAGACTAGGCAAAGCTTGGTATGAGTTTTTTTTGTTTGTTTTAGTTTGAATTAAGCTCAGATGTTTATCCTAATCACTTTTGTCAACAGCAACTTCAGTGCCTAGAGCTAAAAGGCCACTGAACTAGCAGAAGAAGGAGGTAAATAATTCTGCGCGTGTAATCCCTATGGGACTAAAATGCTGGTTTCTGTGTGAAAACACAGACTGGCACGGCGGTTGGCTGAGGTGCGCACGTGCAGCGAGCTCGTCCCATCGGGGTGATCACGGCAGATGTGCGCGGGGCGCCGCGCCTGCCGTGCCGCGGGCCCGGGCTCTGCGGCGTGCGGGGCACGTCCGCGCAGGAGCCGAGGCCTCCTGGCTTCCCACGGTGACCCTGGTAGCACTTGGAAAATCCTCCCCTGTGCACAGAACGTAGGCTCCATCAAGTAAACTGCAGGAGGCGGAATAATATAGCGTGCGCTTCTTAAAGGTGCTCCTATCTTTTCTGTCGTTCAGCCTTTAGAATATTTGTATTAATTGCTGTCACTTTTCTGTTTAGCATTTTTTGATACTGTGATTATGTGATTATTTTTCAACCTCTGTTTTGACTTTGTGTGGTTCAATAGTGCACTCTCTTAAATTTATAACAGAAGTTTTAAATGCCGGAAGAGCAAAGCCAAACTACAATGGCTGTTGATGAGCTTCAAGCCATAATACAACGATGCGTAAGTACTTCTCATAAGAGCTGTAGGTGCCAGCAGTGTAATTTTGTCATTATATACTGTAATTTAAAGCAAAATCACCTTAAAATGTAGGACAGTTGTTAGCAGAGCTCCTCACTGGGCTGCTGGCTTTAGCTGTCATGTGTCATTGCCTTCTTTTTGGTGCTTGTCCCAAGATACTTCTGTGGTGACTTCTGCCTCTCAGAGGAGGATGTGCTCTTGTTTCACTTAGCAGTAACTGTCTGTAAAGGAAAACACTAGCAGGTTGTTATAGAAAGCATCTTAAATAATGCACTGTGTCTGGACTTGGAAAATACTGTTGAAATACTGCTTTCTTTTTTGTAGTAGCTCTCAGTGATTTTTTAGTATGTAAAAAATGATATACAAGAAAAGTTCTAATGACATTTCATTCAACTTTGAAATTAAAACTTAAGTTTACTTATTTTTTTAAATTCCTATTTTATAAATATGTAGTTAAACATGGATGTTTTCTTTCTAGCAAATTCTGGAAGAAGCTGATTTCAAGGGAGAAGATTTTAATTTATTTCAGGTAGCAGGCCAGAAATGTTTAGAAGATGGATATGCAGCTCAGTTATTAGAAGTAGTTCAAAATGAGAAAAATAAGGTGAGTTTAGATTTGAATTAAATATCAGCTGTGTGGTAAACACACTATGAAATAGATAAAACTGTGTATGAAGCAGGAAAACTACCTCCACTGTGGATTAAGTGTGCACATATGAGTAGTCAATCAGTTGTGCATAATAAGTGCCTATTTTAGTAATATGAGTTGTTACAGCTTGTGTACTCAAGTCATGGTAATCTTAACAAAGCTATTAAGAGCTGATTTTCAGTGAATTAAACAGAAAAGAAAAAGAGAGGCTAGCTCATAATGATGAGAAAATGTCAGTGGACAGACCTCTGTTGCAGGAGAGAGTATTTCAGATGTAAATAACATTGGACAGATTTTTAAGAGCAAGCAGCTAGCTAAGCTGATGCTAATAGAACTGGGGCAGTTTGGGGAACTGGGAGAACATGTTTGCACTGAATACAGATAAATACAAAGTCTAAAAGGATGGGATTTTTTGGCAGTGTTACTTGAAGTTCACAGTCTGGTTATAATCTCAGAGAATCTGAAAAGCAACTGGAGATACTGAAGAAATGAGCTGTTCCATGGACAAAATATTGTGCAACAGTATTTATTTCCTTGATTTGGCTAATCAAAAACCAGCAAAACCCCTCTACCTAGTCCTATTTGAGATGTTTTGTCTAACAAATTTGTGGAAATATATATCAGGATGTTTGAAATAATATACAGAAGAAAACTATAGAGAATATGCAGCTATGTTGCCAGATATGGGGAGACACATAGTGTGCACAGAGATTTATTATAATAGATAGTAAATTTTCAGTGGCATTATCATGTTATTCATTACAACCAGTGCATTGATCTATTGTCATTTTTGGCCTTTGTGTGCATGGTATTCTGTATTTAGAAGTTATGCAGTTTTGGTTTATTCTCTGAAAATCTGGTTTGCAGGTTATCATCAAGAATATGGGTTGGAACCTCATTTGTCCTCTTGTTAGATGTATTTTAATGTATAAACAGGAAGATGATAACAGAGAACACTGCCTGAAGATACTAGATCTGCTGGTGCAGGTATGACTGAAATACATTAAGGCAGTAATTGTACCAAAGGGTTTTTGTTGTTCTGTGTTTTTTGTTTGTTTTGTCTTTTAACCTGGGCTTTTTTGCTTATTTCCATTATTTTCCCTTATTTTGCATATTAACTTTTTGATTTGGCCTGAATTTCATCTGAATTAGAAACAAGGGTAGTATCGGAGAGATAATTAACCTCTTACAACATTTGTGAAATTAGCTACTAGATAAAACAAAGAACTGTAAAGCTACTGTGAAGAAAAAGGCAGACAGAGCTCATCTTTTAGAAAGTCGTTTGGTAGCCTTCCACTATAGTCAGCCTCTGCCATAGCTTCTATATCTTGATTAGGTTCTGATGTGGTAGGAAAATAAGCCTTAATCTGTGCACATACATGTGCTTTCTACAGAAGACGTTAACAAGTACTTATCTTACTTGCTTTCCTTAAAGATTATTTTGGATGTTTGGATCTGCTTTCTTTGATGCACAAGAGCTTCTTTGCTGCCATTTGTTTGTGGTGGGGCTTTTAGTTCCTGTCTATGATGATTAAAAAATAAGCCATGTTCTTTCCTTGCAGCTATGTAACGCAAAGGAACTTTTTTTAGGTTTACTTGAGCAGATTGAGCAGACCTCTGGAGAGCAAGTATGCAAAACTGTCATGTTATTGCTTCAGCCTTTGCAGACAGGTAATGTTCACTTTCTTGCATGATTTTGAAAGGTGTATGTGCTCTAGTAGTTATTTGCCAATATCAACACTGGTCATGTTAACTGCAGTATATGAGGCTGACTGATTGTATTGGCTAATCTTGACATACTTGTGCATGTCTTTTCAGGCATCATTCTCCTGCCCCCACTGAAACAAAAGACTTTCTTAAGCAATTACTTTGTTGTTGACTTTTTTTCCTCCAGCAAGTAATAATGTTGTGTCTTGAACTGTTTTCTTTATTTCAGTGCTTTTCAAACTTCAGAACAAGAAGGCCTACTCAGTGGGTTTGTCTTTGGCTGTGATAATGAATCAGCTCACTCCTTTGCCTGTACCTTACACAAAACAACAAGTACAAGAAGATAAGCTCGGTCTCTGTCAATGTTGTAATGCTGTTGTGGACTTCGCTAAACCTTTTGTGAGTGAAGTTGTTAAAAACATGGAAAAGTCATCAGATTGCAATGATACGGAGCTGAAGGAAGAATTACTAAAATTGTGAGTATATCAGCTCATATATTGCCATAATGTAACATAATGCAGTTGGAATATATTGCACAGACAGTAAATAAATCATCTTGCTAGTGTTTTATAATGCCGCTGATTTATATAAACTAATGCTGTGTTTTTCAAAAACAAGTGAAATGAGGAAAGAAGAAAGAAAAATAATAAAAAATAATTTTTAAATACAGGAAAATGATAAAAGAAAAAAATAAAAGCAGTCACTGTGGTATGGAGCAGATTTACTTGTCTTCTGCTTCTTTTCAAGCTTGCAGTAGCAAGGATAATCCCATTCTGGAGGTGAAGTCTAAGTGGAGGTTTTAGAGGGGCATTCTTTTTTTATGCTCCTTGGAATACCAGGAATAGCAGCATCTATTGAGTATAGACTTTACTTTTGGTCCTCTCTGACATCATTGTAGTCTGTACTTATGACCTTTCTGGTGATTTTATTTAAGCGTTGCCCCTTTCTATTTCAGCTGTATGAAAAGCCTTAAATACCCGTTGCTAACAGCTCAACTTGACCAACTTGAAAGCAGTGATGAACATCCCTTTAGACACTTCGCAACTGAAATTATAGTAAGTGCAGTCAGAATGAATTAGTGTATGCCAAACCAGTTATGTTCAGAATTCCCTACCATTGGTTCTAGAGAGAATTTACATGGACCTGTAAGATGGTGCTTACTCTGAGAAAGATGTGGAATAGTTTCAGATCCCATCTCTAGAACCAGTACATCTCATAGACTAAATTTTACTTCTCTCTAATCCCATTTGGGCTGCTGTCTGAATCAGCAGCTGTTTCTTTGCTGTAACTGTTTTTTGTTTTGTTTTGTTTCGTGTAGTTAGATTTTTTTACTTGTGATTGCATGCATTTTTTTCCCCAGGAGGTCTTGATTAGAGCACTAGGTGGAACTGCTGTGTGAATCGAGCAGGGTTGTCTGTAAAATATTTACTTCATTTGATGCTGAACTTGTAAGGTGTACAGTAAAGGAGACAGGGATTATTAGAAGATGATCTAATGGCTAAGATGGTTGAATGCTGCTCTGAAAAAATGTTTTGTTTTATTCCTACTTTTCCCATTTTCTACTTTAGCATAATGTAATACCAAGATTTTTATACAATTTTTTTTTTTACAAAACACTTTTTTTTTCTTCTCCTTCCCTACCTGTATTAAATTGCTCTAGCTATTTATAGAAGTTAGTAATGATAGTTGCTGTTAAGCTCAGTAGAGCCACGGTTTAAATATTTGACATGTTATGTAATGCTAATTCTCCGAAAGGTCCAAGCAGGATAATCCCAGAACAGTGAGTTAACCTCAGTCTCTGCTTCCTCCACAATCTTTGCAGTATGAACTGTGCAATCTCAAAATCTCACAGGAATGTGTGGGGGAGAATATGCTAACATTTGTGAAGTGCTCCTTTTCCTATTTGATGCATCATTGGAAAAGAAGGCATTATAGAGTGATTCTACCTTTAAAGCCCATCTTGCCTTTTGTAGATACACCTTGTGTCACCTATTGAACAATGAAGAGAGAGCAAAATATTAAACAAGTATTCTGTAAACTGAAAAATGCAAGAGTCCTGGGACATAATGTGATTATAAAGTTATCATTATTATTGGTAGCACATGGGGACAACCAGGGCTTTGCAGACTTTGTCTTATGCCAATATGTGAGTGCCTGATTTTCCTGTCCTAATAACATCTTTCTCACAATTGTATTTTTCCTGGATTTTTTTTTTTTGTGTGTGTGTGTATGCATATATATCATAAATAGTCATAGAGTATCTTCAATAGCATTTACTATGTAAGAGATTTTTTTTGTAAATATGAGGCTTGAAACTTTTAAAGATGAATATGTGCAACCTGACTTTCTTTTTTAGGACATCTTACAAGATATGAGAGAATTAATACAATTAGTGTTTTCACATCATAAAGACAGAAGTCAGTCCTGGGAGAACAAGGAGTTTGCAGACATAGAACAAAAGAATTCTGCAGAGTCTTTGGCATGTCTGTCATATCTGATGTTTGTTCACTATTTTGGTATTGATTACTTTCCTATGGTATTTAGGTAAGAGCTATTCTTACTCGTTTATGATAAGTGTTTGCTTTGAATTGTCTTTATGAGTAGAATAAAACTTGTATTTAAAAATAGGTATGGAAAACTGTATTTTTTTATTTGTTTTATGGTAACATTTATGAGTTTATATTTTATTTAGCTCATATTATATGCATAAGTAAAACTCCATTCCGCACATCACTTAATTGTACACAAGGTGGTGTTTTAAAGAAAATGATTATTAGTGATACATTGAAAATTAACATATATTTCAATTTTATATTTATATATGGATGCCACATAAGAATTACAGCAGTTTGAATTACTGACTCTCAAAACACGCTAAGCCTATCAAATATATTAAATAACTGCTGTATGAAAATGTGTAATTGTGCAAGTCACCTACATGGCTTATGCAATTTAATATAAATGTGTTTTTTTTCTTTTAGTCCATCGTACCTGCTGCAATGCAATATGGCACACATTGAAGTCCTGTTGAACAGGTAGGTTTATGTCGTAGTTGGTGTCCTGAGTAATGTGGGATTCCTTTGTGTATCTTAGTGTATATTTCTGTATTACTCTGTGCGTGTGTGCGCGTGCGTGCATGCATGTGCGCATCTGGTGGTTTTTTTGTTTTTTTCAGTGATACTTAATTGAATAAAACTTGGAATATACCAAGTATGCCCAGGAGAGGTCTCTTAAGCAGAGAATTCAAGTGATGAATTGCAGAATATGATGGCTTTATTTTTTTTCTGCAGAGATATGAAAAGTTGTCCTAAGTATTAAGTTAATGTTTTCAGCTCTGCTGTGATATCATTTTTAAAAGCCTTATTCTGAAAATGCCAAACTAAGAGCATTTATACAATGCAGAACAATTGGAATATATATTTATTTGTATTTCTGTAACAATCAGGTTACTATTAAAGAAGACTATGCTATTTGATTAAAGGTCAGGCTTTCTAGAGGAAACCATACTTTTCCATTGTCATAGAAAGTAATTATTTGATATTCTGGAAGTGGCACTGTTGACCAAACACTTCTAGTACTGCTAGAGAAAGGGTTTCTTGTTATGACTGCTTACCATTTCCTGTTAAAATTTAAATAAAACTTAAATGGTCTTTTCATATTAGCACTTGCTGTCTTTCCCCTTAGCTTATGGAACTGTGCAAATGGAATCCTCTGGGAAAAGTTCCATTCTTTTTGTTAATTAATATCTTGATACCTGTGGGACCTGAGCTTGTGCCTTTAAACTTTAATAAATACTGAGAAGAAATACTACTTTTTACCTTAAAGACATGATTCAAATTTGCAGCCTCTCCATTAGTCCTGTATATTCTACAAGTTTTTGAAAAGAGTAATGAAGATGATAGGAAAAAATGCGAAATTGTTGAGGGCCAGGTTGCTTTATGTTATCTCTTCTCGAACTTTTACTACTTCTGAAATAAAAATAGTGGGTTTTTTTCAGTATGCATCTGAAATTTGTTCATGTCTATTTTTTTTCCTCTAGAACTGAAGAATCTGTCTTATCCAAAGGACTTGTAAGTTTTCTTTTGCTTTATTAAATTTTCATTGTTTGAATGTTTGTTCTTCCCAATTTAAGTAATAGTGCTTATAGAATACTATAGAGTAGAAATCTTTTTAGTTTTCCTTTCCAGCAGAAGTACAAATGATAGCTCAGATGATAATTCTGATTACAGTTTCAGAAATATTTTGAGGCTTAATTAGGTGTTCTTCAGTTTTGCAAATTATTCTGCATTTATTGAACTTCTCACATTTGCATAAATCTTTAAATTACCGTTATCATTTATGTTTGTAATTCCTCGGAGCTCTGTATACATGAGTAAGCATTTGTAGCAAAGGAGTTTTTAGCTGTAAAGTGTTAAGCATTTCAATTTTTTTCTTCTCACTTGCAGGAACTGTTTGAGAGTGTGTTATTAAGAATGGAAGATAATAGCCTGCTCCATCAGTATTTAGAACTCAGCAATTTTATTACTGTACCTCAGGTAATAAGATGAAGCATCTAGAAGTCTTCAAAATTTGATTATAAATCATATCTGGCAATTTTTGAGGTATTTAAGAGAGGACATATTACGAGCCTTTATATCTGTACTTATATTGACAAATCAAAACCTGTCATGCATGCGGTATCTGCCATGTGCAATAATTGTTCTTACTCTCCAGCAGCTTCACGCTAGCTCTGGGCCTTCTGCTTGTTCAATAGGGCAGCAGTACTCACGAGAAACGATCATGCTCACTGTGTGGCCAGTGACAGCCTTTCACATTGATATAACACAATGGGGAAAGAGGTGAAGATATGAAGAAAAATGTAAAGCAGAGGCAGCTTCTCCTTGAAGGATGAGAAGGAATTTTCATAGAAAAGGCTTCTCTTCCCAACCCACACGCAGGAGAGGGATTACACCACCTCCTTTTGCTGCTACAGCTCTGCCCCAGCTATCTGCTTGTGCAATTGTGAAATATTGTCATAAATACTACGTAAATGGAGAATTCCTTCTCTGGTATCTTAACTGAAAAACTGTAAAGTTGGAAGCATACTTCTGTGTTTTCAGCTGCCTGAAACCTCATTGCATATATTAATTTCTTTTAGACTTGAATTTTGAAAACTTAAATATTTCTGATTGTTCTTCTGCAAAGCAGGAGGTATCATTATTCCTTTTTTTTACTCCCGTGTATTCGATACAATGTCAGTGTCAAGTCTTTCTTAAGTTATCCATTACTCTAGCACCAGCAACGATTTGATTAAACTTAATTGATTTAAAACATAACATTATTCCTTATATTCTTTTTGAATTGTTTAAATTGTTTAAATTGAAACAAGGCCTATGTTTTGTGACACTCAACAGAAACAGGCACCTAAATGTTACTGGTCACAGTAGATTTGTTCCATGTGGAGTCTAAAAATAGACTACTTAGAAAGTGTAACTCAAATGGCAGCGTATAACAAACATATCAGAAGGCTTCAGTGTTTTCCTGTGTTGAACTTGCAAGTAGGTCTTTCCTAAATGCTAGAGCATGAAATTTCAATGACAATTAAAATATATTTAGTGCATATATAATCTGCTCAGCCAGGGTAGGCACTGGTCTTGTTTGAAAGACAGTTGTGCCATCTGTCATGCTTGGTATTTTGCCCTTTCCTTGCAATTCTGATACCTTACTGAATTCTTATTTGGCCAGAGCAATAGAAGGATAGTATTCTTCTATTTCAGCCATAGCTTTCAGACACTAAAGCCAACATTAACTTCTCTAATTTGGTCTTCTCATAGGCATGATTTTTTAAAAAATATATATATTTTAAGTAGGTTTTAGATTTAATGCAAGGATAATTAAACTGAACATAATTAAAATTTGTTTCCTTTGTTTTGTTGCAGAATTTGGTGAAAGTTATGACCCTTTGTCCCATAGAGCATCTGGTATGTAAGATGACCCTTAGAATGAGCTAAATGCTGAATTTTAAAAATTGTAATAAATCGTATATCTTCTTCTTTTCTTTAGCGGAAGAAAAGTTTAAATATTTTGCAGTTGTTTATAAACAAGTTCGATGCAGAGGGAAAATACACATTATTCAGGTATGCATCCGGGTTATTGTAGATTGTGCAATATCATAGTGTGGGATTTATTTATTTGTTTACAATTTAGTTGCCTAGAAAGTCTCAGAAATCATTGCAGTTACCTGGGAAAACAGATTTATTATGTTAATTTCTGGCTAAATAATAAGTTTCAAACATATGTCAAAAATGCTGACTGAACTCTAACTTCATCAATAAGGCCATAACATCACCTAAGTTTTGAGCTAACTATTATTGATAGCTTTCAGAGCATAATCTCTCTATTTTGTTTTCCAGATGCTTACTGAAGACAAGCAACCATGCTGGCGTGGAAGGATACATTATTAAAAACATAAAAGATCAGATTCACTTAGCATTAATGGTGAGGCTATTATCATTAAAAGACCAAGTTGCCACATAAAAATTCTCTCAAGTATTACGTTAGGGAAATATGTATAACTTAATGTTAATAAGCTATGTATAGCTTAAGCAGTGATCAGAGAGTCCTAGAACCGTTGTGGTTGGAAAAGACCCTCAGGCCCGAGTCCAGCTGTAAACCCATCAGGCCCACAGCTGCTCTAGCCCCTGCCTCTCAGGGCCACATTCACACATTTCTTGAACACTGCCAGGGATGGTGACTCCACCACTTCCCAGGGCAGCTGATATTAAAAATAATTAAAATTAACTGAATTAAAAATAAATACTGCATTGAAAAATATGAAAAATATGATTAGATTAAGATTGGGAAATGATATAGTTAAAGGTTTTAATTTAGCTTCTTTCTGCATATGTATTTTTACATTATAATTTTATATATATACTAGTAATTGTATGGTCTTCTATTTTAGCAACAGGTTATTGCCTTTTCTGTACTTGAAACACATGTTCTTAAGGTAAAGAGGAACCACTCAGTATCTGGTTTTATCTTTACAGTTTCTCATTTCTCCAGCATAATTTAAACCCTGAAGTCCTGACAGATTGATTAAATTTTTCATAGAGTTTTATAGGAACAGTCAGCATTATAATAGAATGGCTCACAAATGTTAAATTTATCAAAAAATGTTGAGCCAAATCAAAGCTATTTAAATCATATTTTATCATCAGAAAGATGATAAAGTCAGAAAACTTAATTAAAAATAAATTAGCTCAGTCTTTTTTTTTTCTTTTTCACTACTTGAGGCTTTTTTTTCCTAAGCATATTTGATTCGCAGGGATATGGCCTTTATTTAAATGGGTCAATGTGGTATATTCATGCATATTTTATGCTAGCATTTTTATCATTTAACACATTCAGGCTGTTAATTCACTATTTTCCAATGTAATACTATTTTTTAAATGATAGTTAACCCTGTATATTGAATGGTCCAGGGGTGAAGAAGATAAATATTATAAAAACTCTTTTTAAAATGGTATTTTCAGACTAGAAGTTTTTGATTGTGCAAATTCAAAATTTTCCTGATACTATTTTTGTAGCATTTCCTGGCTGTCTAAAAGATAAATCTTTTCAGAATTTCATCATATAAATTTGAATATTCTAGGTTTATTACATAAAATTTTATTGTGGACGTAATGAAATAAATGAATGGCAATAGCAACTCTTAGTTTTTCTGCCTAGTTAGTCTTAGTCTTCTCCGTCTATATCCACAATTACTTTCCCTGACCTTAGCATTTGAAAAGCAAAGCCAGGAACGCGTGCTGTGACATGGTATGACACAATACTGTCATGATACAAATACACTTGCTGGTAAAGGTAACTAATTGTTCCTTACTTCAGTATAAAAAGAGAATGCCTAATACCATTTGTTAAGTTTATGTAAACGAATATTAACTATGTTGATGATGATGATAGGATGAAGAGGTGGAGAATTCATTCAGATGAATTGAAAAAGAACATTTTGGCATGGAGAAACAAATTGGAGAGGAATATGTCTCCTTTTGAGAAAACTAGTTTATTTTGATCACCTTTAGTAACTAGAAAATACTTGCACTTCTGATTTTGTTTTGTTTCCCCCATACTATAGTTAATACTTAAGATTTATATTTTGTACACAGCTGAACTTTTTGTATTTTTTTTTTCAGAAGGTGGGTGACAACAACTGGTTTACAGGACATCACCTGGTCTCCCTTTTAGATTTAGTGCTTTTGCTTCCTGACGGTGCTGAGACAGACCTTCTGCAAAATTCAGATAGGTGAGCTGTAACCACGAGTAGAAACATTGCTGGGTTTCGATCATCTCAAAGAAAATGTCAAACTATCTTGAATGTATCAATGTGTTTTCATCACTTATTTCAACCATCTTTTCAACTGACTCTATATAAAAAATGTCCCAATCAATTATTTTGAGGTTAACAATGAGAAGGATATTCCTTTTGCATCCCTGCAGAACTAATAGGTAGAGCATAATTCCTTGAGGGTTGTGGGAGTTTGTCAGGTTTCTGCAGAAGCAAGAAAGGAAGTTTAGCACCTGGAGAAATGAGAGAAAAAAAAAATGTGATAAATTACTTTAGTGATAGAAACAGTGAATATATACGAAAGCACCTGAACAGCAATACTGCCACTAACAAATAAAACAATAACTGGAAATGCATCTGAAAAATCTCATGTATAGGACAAGGGTCTTTCTCTACTGCAAGTAAAGATTGGGCTTGTAAATTAGCAGGGTAATGGTGTTCAGATGAAGCACACTTACCTCCTTAAAATCCCACAGGTACAATCCATAACTGGAAGTAGTGCTGCTCTTTATTTGGAAATATCAATAACTTTTGCTAAAAATTAGCACAAAAGTAAAAGCGATATTTTAAAAATGCTCACAGTAAAAAATCAGTAATGCTGTTTCTAAGAGAGCTGTTGCTGTTTGGATTGCCAGTGATGCATTTTGTGAGGGGGAAGGTATACATCTTTTTGGGTATTCCTGTTTCTTTGCTCCCTCCCTCATGATAGTATGAGTGTTTCTCACATAATCAGAAACAAGAAAAAGATGTTCCAGCACATGTGCTGGAGAAAGAGAAAAGAAAGAAAAATCATAGATGCTAATGTGCGAGTGAGGGAGAAGATGAAATGCAGGAAGTTAGTAAGCTCTGTATTCATTCTTCATTCTTAAATGAAGTTTCTTAAATTCTTAAATTTAAGTTTCTTAAATTCTGTAATACAGTTCAATCTCTTCATAAAATCTTTTCCTCACAATCACTAACCCTCTCTGGTCTGCTGCCAGTATTAACCTTAATTGTAAAGTGTCAACTTGTGTTGTAAAAAGGAAGTTCCTGTACTCTGGTGCTCTGGATCAGCCGATACTGCTCAGGAGAGCTCAGGAGATGAGTGGTTGCATTTTGTGTAAATGGATGCTTTTAGGATGCCTGGCTATTAGACAATCCAAGTTATTAATACTGTAATGTAAAACTGTACTTTAAATGATTAATAGTATATTTTTAATTCACAGGATTATGGCATCACTAAACCTGCTGAGATACTTAATGATTAAGGATGGCGAATATGATAATCAGGTAAGTGTTTGCCACTTAGCTGCTGCATGGCTTTCCAACGCAGTGTGTTATGATGGTTCTGGGGTTTTGCTGTCCAGCTGCAGTTGCTGGCCACGTGTCCCTGGATAGTCAAGGGAAAGCTCAGTGTGTACATTTCTAACTAGGTCAACATAAGGATTCCATATTCTAGCAATTGATTTATCATTTTGTGTGCCTCTGGCTTGCATTGTGCCACGTTGAAAAGCCACTAGAACTGTTCATATTTTGTTTTCAGACTTCATTCCACTACTGAAAGCCCCGTTATTCAACTAACAAATGCAGCTTCTGTTTATTCTTTTTTTTCATTATTATGTCCCAACATCCCTCTGATCCATGCAGTTCAGTCAGTTTTTTTACCAGATGACAATGTCATCTGATCTCCTTTGATTTTGCATTAAAATACTTTTAAAAATCAGTGACTGATATTCTTGACAGTTTAAAAATCACTTTCTTTTAAAATACTGAATTTTTTTGATCCATTTTCAGAGCACTTCAGTTTGAGTACACGTTTAGTATGTGCTTAGTGATCTTACTGGTCTAAATAGAATGATGATAAAATAGTAATTAATTCTTCACCAAAACAATTGTGGGGAAAAAGGATAATAATAGTCTTCAACTAATACATTTCTAATTTACTCTTAATGTAACTAGTTAGGATTGATAGACTCTATCCATATTTCAGATTTATGGAGTGATTTCTATTTAAGTGCTCATTATGGTCTGCTCGGTTTCATATAAATTTTATAATGCCTAGCTCTTTCAAGAAAGAGAGACAGCTTCCTTTACTACTTTTAAAAATCTATACAAAGGAGTGCACAGTGGTTGCAGGAACGCTGCCTGTTGTCTGGCATGAAGCATTTCCCTTTGGCTTCATGAGAAAAGAGCGTCGCCTCTTCCGGCTGCTTCTTTCAGCCCTGCATGTTCTTATTCATATTTATTGCACTTCCTATAGTGCAAATGGAACATAAGCAAACTGCTCATAAACTACCTGCTCTTTAAGGCGGGGTCAGATACTTTGATTGCTCTGTAGCAAGTGCTTTTATTAACTGAGCGTAAAAATGAGTATTTTTCTGGAAGGTTACTTTGCCATTGAAGCGCCATTCAAGTGGAAGTAATTACCAGTCTTTTTATTAGACCAATTAACTTTATCATTTGACATTAAAATTTGGTGCATTTTCCCCTGTAATCCACAATACCCTTTACCATTGAGAACTGTTATTTTTGTCCTCCCTACACTGCTTTTTAAGGCCATTGCCTGAAGAAAGGAGTCTCATAAATGGCTCTTAGATGTAAAGACACAAAGACTTGCTTTATATTTTTCTTCTACTGCAGTTTTTTAATTGAAAGCTTCTAAGGTGCCAAAGCAGAGAAATTTTCTCATACTGCATAACCGGGAACCAGCTTCTTTTTGAGCTTCTTTTCTTTGCCCCTCTTGTTTTTTGACTTTTGTAAACTCTTTCCTTCACCCATCCCAAACTAGAGAAGGGTTCATTTAGCTCTTTGGTTACTCTGCCTTGGCTCACAAATTAATACAAAGCATAACAATAAACTTTTTTTAGTTCTGATTCATTAGGAATCTCAATCAAATCCTCGCACTCTTCGAGTACTAACTGCCATTTTTTGGTTAAAAAATACAGTGAGGTGAAGGTTAGGAATAGGAAAGCAGCTTGTCTTGCCTTGTGAAGTCTACAAGGTGGAATATTTACTTGCACCTGAAAGGTGCATCTGAAAACTTAGCATTGCACAGCTTTACTTTTTAACCTTCTCTCTTCTGTTTGAATAGACTGGGGTCTGGACCATGCTTGCCAAGATTGAACAAAATTTTTTAAAACCGCTGCGCGTAGGACTCAATATGTCAAAGGCTCATTATGAAGCAGAAATAAAGAATAAGAAAGAAAACAGAAGAGGTTGGTTGTTTTCTTCTATATTAGCTTTGTTCTCCGTGTTCTGTAAACAATTGGCAAATGTTATATAGATCATGGGGTTTTTTTTAATTGTACAGACTATTTCAAGTTTCTAAGTAATTCCATAGTTTCTGTACTTGATACTATTAATTTGTCAGAAAAAAATGAACTTATTTTATCTCTTATCACATTCTTAAACCTTACGAATGCAATGAAGTTAGGTCTGTTTGACATTAAACTACCAGATAAAGCCATATACATATACACGTGCTTTTGATTTAAGGTTAGGCAGGGAGATATCTAAGTCTCTTTGTGAAACTGTCCCTTAGTTTTCATAACCGTTGTGGGGAGGTTATTGTTATTGTTATTACAGAAGAAATAATTTAAACAACAGGTAGGTAGTCTCTCAAAGCCTGAAGGATTACCTTCTGCTTTGTGTTTATCTGACACACAGTCAGATTCTAGATGTACATATCCTATAGGGAAGGAGAACTACGGTTACAGCTGCCCTAGGTCATCTCTCTGTATGTCAGATCCTCTGTTCCCTTGTGGACTCCAATATAATTAAGATAGTCCAAGGAATTTGCTTCAGCTACCAAAAAAGTAATGCTTTTTGCCCCAGTTTTATCCTCCTGTATTGCTGTAAACTGAGGAGAAGTTTTTCTGAAGACAACCTGTAGGTAAAGGCTTTAGTCTTTCTCCTGTAGTATATTTTTTGTATGCATTACAATAAATTTCAAGTAAACAGTTTGAATGTAAGAATTTCCGCCTCGGGTTTTAGACTTGCCCTTGTAGTTCTGCCTGCTACAAGAAGGCTGCCTGAAAAAGAAGAGCCTGCAGCCTTTGCTTAATAAAATAAATATTTAATGTCTACATTCATCAAGTCAAGGCCTCCACTATCTCTCTGCATGTGAGAGTATTAAAAAATATTACAGAGTGACAGGATTTTATGACTTGAAGTTGCATTTTAGCTATATAAAATTGTTGTGGAGTACAAGAAAATAGACTAATTGCTGCAGCTGTATTTATTGTATTATATAACTTGTCTAGCACTCCACTTCATAAACAGTAGTGCCAGGAATAGACTGTTTAGTCATATGCTAAATAAAATTCAGAGATGGCTTCCAGGTCAAACTGTGCTCCCCTTGAAGTCCAGCACCTTCCTTCCTCAGCCTTCTGTCAATCCCTAGGTTTGCACTTCTAGCAAGGAATGCTAATGAATGAATGACAATATCTTAAATATTCTTTTAATTCTAAAAGTTATGTGGAACAACAGGATGTTTTTTCTTTGTCTTTTCTCTTACAGATTCAAACAGTTCTAACACAGTCTGTTCTGTAACTGTTAGTGGGGAAAAGCTGCCCGCGATGACTACTGAAATGCAGCTTCAGGTGAGTGCATTTCCTTCAAAGTCAGAAGCACTAAAATGTTCTTTTGGATCTGGAGACAAACATGCATGTACAGCTGATGAAGAAAATCACTGCTGCAATAAAAGTAACATTAATCTCCTTTGTCATTTCAGGTTTTACGCTCAGCTCTCTTCACATTTGATTTAATAGAAAGTGTTCTAGCGCGAGTAGAAGAACTCATTGAAATGAAAATAAAAGCTGTAACATGAAAATATTCATCTCAGCTGAAACATTTGAATAAACATACTTCTTGCAAGCTGATTTTAGCAGTTAGATTTTACTCGAAAAGGAGGCTACCAAACTTTAAAGGAGAGTAGCATAGAATGACTGCTAGAAGAATTGCAAATCCTGCTCTTCACTTGTCTTCTTGCTCTCTTTTCTCCTCTTTTTTGTCTTTTTTTTTTTCTCTTTTATTGTTGCTCTGTGTGATTCACAGAGATGGCCTACTTACTGAAGGGCTTTTTTTTTTCTCAGTCTGACACTTTGTCTGAAGTTTTTGTTCTTGATGGCTTTGTTGTTGTTATCCTGTGGCAAGGAGGCACGGTTGCGCATTTATTTTTCTGTTCACATTTTCAAAACCTGTTGGATAGTATGTGAATCAAGCACTGAATTATAAAGAGATTTACAAAGTTTTAGAGAACCATGAATTAGAAAGCATTACGTAAATGCTCTTTCCATTGGGTCTTATTAACAAACCAACCTCTATATTAACAAAAGGCACTGTAAGCCTCTTGTTATTAATTACAGTAGAGACTATGGTGAAGTGAAACCAGGTTTAAAGAAAAGCAGACATCAATTTTGAGGTAAGAAAGATGATAAAACATAATAGCATAGCAGATGAAACCTGTGTTTAAGAAAATCAATGTATAAGACTTCATAAATATAAGTCTTGATGGATGGGAAACCTATTTTAGAATTATTTTGTTCATCCTTGTCTTTAATTATGAAAAATTTCCTATAGATATATTAAGTAGTTGGGGAAATGACTGTAAGTGGACAAGCTCATATGTTCATATGATGAGTTCATAAGATAAAACCTCAAGCTAAAAATAAGGAAGACTTCTCAATAGTGAAGTTAAAACACATTTTTATTTTTTGTTAGAATGCATTCTTGATATAAAATATGTCAGTTTTGCACTGTATAAGTGTTTAAATTTTCATTCCAAATGCATAAGTTGTATATACAGTCTTTGAAATGTAGCAATATATTTTTAAAAGCATTTATATTTTGTTTAAAATGTAGCTGCTATATTTAATGAATAAACAAACACTAAATTAATTGCAATGCAGCTGGTACTGCTGAAGCATCTTCCAAACTGGACTCTTTTCTGTTATGTGGACTTTGGCCATTGCCATTTTGTAACGAATATCATCCGCACGTGGCTTGGAAGTTATCTTAGAGGGAAGAAAATTATTATCATTAGAAGGACAAAAACCTTTATATAAAGGAATATCCAACATCTTATATAGTACAAATGTATTTTTTAAGTATAATAACATTTGAATCAAATTTTCCAAATCATGTAATTAAGAATGGTATAAATAGAGGTGATTTATGTATCCCATCAGCAGCAAAACCAGTGGAAGTTTGGCACTGCAAAAATAATTAAAAAATATGTAATGGTTACAGATAAGTTTGGGGTATGTGCTGCCGTCAGTTCTTATGGCATGCCTGTGTTAAAATCTGTCAGATTCATTAAGAACAAACAGAACAGATTCAAATGTATAGAATCAGCAGGGATTTTAAGAACATCATGTTAATATGTCCTGAGAGGCTGGACAGGACATATCAATAAATTCCACAAAAAGATTCAAAAGCACAATGTTGAACAATGTATTAAGCAGTTAACAACTCTTGCTGCATAATAACAAGGGGGAGTTTATTTATAATCTTTTAAAATGATGAATACTCTGAATAGATCAATGCTTATCATTTTGAGAGGCCCACTCCAGGAAAGAATAAGTATCTGATTTCTAATATTAGCCTGTGTTTACCTTTAGTACGTGGCATGCTGCTGGTACTGTTATAGTTAAAATCGATTCAGAATTTTCATGGCAAAATGTGTAAAGCACTTTTGCAAATATATTGGACTTTTCAGTGAAAAATGTTTATGCATATGGGATACCTTCCACTTACAAATAACAATATGCATCTATGACATTGGTAAATCATAGAAATAATATACTAGTATCTGCATCATTAAAAATCTGCAATTAATGAGAGACTTCAGATTGAGCTGTTATTTTAAGAAGACATTAAATATTTAGAAGACATTTTGATGTCATGCTGGTTCTGCACTAGCAGAGGAAATGAAGATGCTCTAATTTAACACTGGTGAATAGTATTTAAATATCTCGATTGTTTTCATAGATTATATTGAGTTATCTTTAACAATACTTTAAACATTTAGCTAAAGTATTTGAGTTGTGTTTCCATTGCAATGTATTATGTAGACTGTGATGAACATGACACATTTCTATTAAGGACAAGTATTTTGTAGGGACTCTTTTTTTTCTAGGTTAATATACTTGTGAAATTCTGGGGACCTAATATTTGTAAGTGTATGCAGCTAAACTCACCTTAGCTATAGTTAGCATAAATTTAACAGTTTCCACATTACTGTGAACTGGAATGATGCGTAAGTTACTGCCCAGGAATCTGCAAATCAAAATAATTTAAGGTTATTTCTAGAATGCACATTTAATTTGTTATGCCACAAAATTAGAAAAGCCTTCCCATGTGATGCAGATGGCTCTTTCTGACAGGGCTTTCACCACAAGTGCCCAGGAGATTGTTTTTATCTTTAAAAGCCATTGCAGGGCCTATGATGTTTGTGTACCCATCTGTTTCATCTCTACAGCACTAGTTTATCTGGGATTTCAGAGAGATCTTGGTGAGGGCTCTTAGGAAAGCAATTGTTGTTAGTTCTGAAGCATGCGTGCAGCAAGAACTAAATACGTAAATACTACTCTGACACATTGTTGAAGACTGAGTGTCCTCAAAATGCCAGCAAAAAAAAAAGTATTTCTGATGGTTTTGGCAGAACGCAGGACTAAATCTGAAAACGCTGTTTTAAAAGTATTTTGACCCAAATCTCTGTAGATAGCATCTAGATGCAGTAATCTGTGTATGAATTAGAAGTAATTAAAGCAACAGGATAATTCTGGTCAGAATTTCATCTAAAGGCTCAGACATTTAAATAATTTAGCTTCAAATGTGTTCTCTTGCTCTCTATGTCATTCATAGGTACTTCTGTAGCTCTTATGGAAGCTGAAGATCTAAAATATTAGAATGGTAGCCTAGGTAGTCAAGGCAGTCATAGCAGAGACAAGCCCAGAGCCTGTCTCCTTGCACCTTAGTGCGTTGTGACCGTGACAATGTAGTTTAGTATTGCTGCCTTTTCCACAATGGAAAAATGAATGAGGAAAGAATGAGGAATTTTTGAAATAATTAAAAATTGAATGTAAAAAGAGACCCAGCTTAATTGTATATTCCCTCCAACTTGTCCTTGTGCTTTTCACCTGTCTCTTCCTCTCAGTTTGATTGATGGTTTGGACCTGTTCAGGTCATGACCATGGTATGTAGATACCTGCTGAACTTGGCAGCCTATTTTTCTAATCAGCAAAACTGTAAGTAGTGCCATTTCCTAAATTAGGTAGCCAGGATCCCTCTGAATTTCCCTAAAATCTAGTGCAGTAATGAGTTTGATTTACCTTTCAATACCAGTTTTAGGATTTCAAAGATTAACAGATGAAATTTTGCCAGTACCAGCTGCTGGTAAAGCATGAATGAACTAGACACAATCAAGCAATTAATGTATCAGGGTAAGTACATGTAAAATCCATTTCTGTCAACAGTATTGCTTCCAATTCTACCACTTTGAATTCGGTTTGTTGAAATAATTTTGATTAATGGACAGAATACTGGCTTTTATAAGCATATGACTGGATGTTGCTCTTAAGGAGGGTAAAAATCAATGTGAATTTATTGAAGGTATTACAGGAATGTGCCTTTCCTGGAGCTGTGATGATAAAAAATGTTTCTTCTTCTCACCCCAGTCACATAGACAATCCCACATAAAGTGTTCATAGTGTTGAACAACAATCCTATAGTACTCCTTTAAGGGAAGATTTTGTTTTGTTTTCTCTTTAATTGCAACAAAACTATAGATGAGCAGGGAAAAAAAGGGGGAGAGGGGCAGTAATGTAGCAAGACCTCTGGAAACTACCAGGACCTTGCTTTGTTTTTTTAACAAATCGAATAAACAACTTATAATTTGAGAATGCAGAGCAAATTTAACCCCCTCCCCAATGTAAAAACGCATTGATTTATGTACAATGGCAGAACAGCTAGTAACAAAGCACACACATTCAAAATATAATTGTGCCTTGTCAGCATCAATTTGGTGTGGCCTACAATGACAAAAATGTAACTTTAATAATATTACTGACTTGGCAAAGGGATTGGATTTGCAAAACAGTGCATTTTTTTTTAGTTTTAGGAACACATCCTGGAAATCAAGTGTACAAAGAAACAAAAGTAAATTGAGATTTTTTTCCTGCCATCGGATGAATTGCATGTTCTTGTTGAATGGTGCCAAAGCTTTTAACACCTCTCAAAATATATGGAATTTTCACAAATGAGTAACAGGAAATCTACATTTCATCCCATACATTATGCCACTCATCAGCATTTGGCAGTGTGCCCAGGACTTAACTGAATTGGTGCTAATTTCAAGAAGGTAAAGACCACAGACTTGATTAGAAGAGTCATGCGTTGGATGTCAAGAGTGAAATGCAAATACAGCAATGCTACTGTACCAACCAGAAAGTGGCCTTGACTAGGGGCAAAGTGAAAACACAGAGTTTGATCATGTTCTCAGCAGCTATGTACTGCAACATGGGAGTTTCCAGGCTTTGGTAGAAATCACAGATAATGTTTTCACATTCAGTTTTATATTTCTGGTGTAAAATAATGCTGATTACTATGTCAGTTGTTCTAGCTCTTCATATAAGAGATGCTGTTCCAAGTAACCAGTAGTTGAAGGCTGGCAAAGAATGCGCTTAAGAACAAAGTCTTTTTTTGTACGATGAAAACTTCTCTTTTTTTTTTTTTAACTTAACATAAAAATATGCTGACAGGGCTACAAGAATTAAGGAAAATTGCATAATTTTCCAATGTGATTTATATTACATAGTCCTAGAGTGACTGAAAATAACGGTATTTGCTATGGTTTGAGGAATATCCCCTTTTTGCTGAGTTGACTATGGCACGTCAGGTTGATTCACTCACCATTCTTTTAATTTCATTTGCCATTAATAAGATAGGTCAGTATGAGAAATGTATCCTTTGGCTAATTTCCCATTGCCTGAGCAAACTAAAACTCAGAAGAATATATGAATGTTGAAGAAAGTTGTATCTCATTTCTTCATAATAATAAATTTGCTTTAATGTCAAATCCATACCTTCTCTGAATCCTGAACATTATATTCCATTCTTCTGGTCCGTGAAGGGCAGCTGACAAAACCAAAAAGCTGTTCCGATGAATGTTTATGAACTTCTGAACTCTGTCTAAAAACTGCTGTTCTCCTGTCCTAAGCAAGTCTTGAATGTCTGCCAGTACAAATGCAACCCCTGTTGAAGAAGAAAGTGATGTCAAGTGTAAACATGGACTTCAAGGCAGCACTGAGATACAGGCTTCTGACTACAACTACCCCATCAGGAGGCAGAATTCCTGCTCAAAAATCAGTTTAAAAGGCAGTAAAGCAAACTTGTGTATTAATTTACGCATCTTGGCAATAACATGCAAGATCTCGATGGCTGCCTTACATTTTAGTGATACCTCAGTGTGTCTCCTCAGTTACAACAAGAATTTACTAGACAGTTCAGCCAACAATCCTCAAATTCAAGCCACCGTGAGTCCAATGACAGCAAAGTCCAATGTTTTAGCCTCCCAGTTCTCCATTGTGCCCTCAGATTTATGTGCAAGCTCTTTCCACGCTTCAACAAGGCAGCTTTATCCAATTCAGTGCAGCCTAAAACCAGGCCTCTGTACCTCATTAAAGTTTTTGAATTTTAAAAAACAAACACATTTCAAAACACTGTACCAGAAAGAGAGAATATCACAGATCCGATTTCCACTGAATCTGAATATCGAACTCGGTGTTGTTGTCGCTGCAGAATTGTTGAAATCTCATGGTTCTAAAAGGACAATAAAAGATTATTTTAAAACATGTTTTCAGCAAAAGAAATGAATAGAAGTATTCTTCGAATGTTGTCTGAAGGATCATAAAACTTTTGTATTGTTCAGAAAATATTCTACCTGCAATAATAAAAAAAAAAGAGTAAAATGCTAACAAACTTTTCAGTTAATGAAATTTTGAAATGTTTGTATTGGATGATATCAAATAATTGAATCACTATTTTGTATGCATACATTCATTTTGCCAGAGGAAACTCTTGCATAATACATCAAGAAGCTCAAACATTTTATGGACTGTCTTTTTACAGATGTGCTGAAGGGAGATTTCCCGAAATGAGGAACATAGAATAGTGTGTTTCTATAACTCCAGTTAATTAGACTGCATTCATTTTCCCGGATGTCAGCATTTCATTCGGCAGATAGTTCAGAAAGACTGTATGGGCGTGATTTTCATTAAAGCTTTTTGACTGAATACAATCCGTTCAGGAAAACAAGAACATTGTGCTGTGCACGATAATCATCTACAGAGCAGAGTGCATTGGGATATATTTTTCAGCCTGCAAAAAGCATTTTTACAGTGGGCTCCATCAAAGTTGCTCAAGCCTTCTTTAGGTAATTACATGTTTTTCAGCTTACCCATTTAAAATGCAACCAACCTGCAATATAGGGAAGAGGAGAAATGAACCTTGAAGGAGACAGTTACCAGAAATTTCATGTTTCAAATCAGATCTGTAAAGGGAAGACTCAATGACAGCTGAGGTGTGACTACACTTTTGGAAAACCTCTCTGCTTCAAAGCCACTGTTGATAATGAATTATTTAATGTAGGCTGCACATAAAGAAAAATCATAATGTTGAAATAATGAAACAGATAAAAGAAATACGTTCATGAAATGTCAATCTTTTTGGAACTGTATTGCAGCTGCTTCTACATCTTTATTCCCAGAGTCTTTACCAATGGCAATAGCTTTGAGTAGGTTTGAAGAACAGAGGTATGTTACGCTGGTACAGCTGATGAGGCCACCACCCTCAGATAACTCTTAACATACTGAGGATTAAATTGCTCTTGAAACAGTTCCCAAACTGGTACAATTTACCAGCTGCCATTCTGGAGCGAGTGGACAAGTAAGCACAGGCTTCACACTGTGATGGCTCAGGATGTGCTCCAGCACCGTTCACCTGCTGGTACAGCAGAGACGGGGTGGCAACCTTGTCAGCCCCAATAAGGTGAGCTGTCCCCTCCTGCGAGTCAAACCCTCAGCCTCTAAATTCTCTCAGACTGGTATCAAATTGGCCTCAGTATCAAGAACTAATTCCCAGCTCCTTGGCAGCCTCTTTCACATGCCTAGGCTTGTGATACTAACAGATAAAAATATAAATAATTATCTCTATTTTTAAACTAAATTGCATACTTATCCCAAAATAATCTCTCTGTGTTGACACTGTATGCCAGGAAATAAAGTGTTTATGAAGACATTTAGGATATAAAGCACCTCCCTTACAGAATTATTTTAGTACTTGTTGAAAGCAGCACCAGGGCAGTCCAGCAACGATGAGTCAGGAAGACAATCCTGAAAAATTCAGAGTAGTGGATACAAAGAATACTAGATAGGTAGCCAGATGCATACAGAAAGAACTAAGAGAAAAACATACACAAAAGATCCAGTGTTATGGTCAGGGCTAATGACTTTGTTTTTTCAATATAGTATCAAGGTCACTTCTACTGCATGACATATTTCTATGTATAGAATATAGGAAATGGTTGTTTCTGAGCTTTTAGTAAAATGCTGCTCTTGACAAACAGCACAGTACCTGCATAGCTGTACTCATAATAACAGTTGTTATCCATTTTGACTCTTTCTGTCCACCATTTTCCGTCATTTTAATATGGGCTTAGGAGCTCTGCAGTGAAATCCCAGATGCCACCTTCTTAAAAATGGGAAAACAGCAAAATAAAGATGATAAATATTAGCTGTCAAATAGGGTTGATGAAATGCTTAGAGCAAAATGACCCACTGAAGATCTGATCAGAATCAGCAGCCACCTAATTCTAAAAAAAAATCTAATGGCCAATTACCACTGAACTGGCACGTATAAAATGGGAGAGGTTTCCACTATAGGGTCTGTCAGGGCAAGAGTGCAATAAAGAATAATGAATAAATGACCTCAGGAAATCTATTTTCTATAGGGCTCATTTGGTGTAGCGGGGGGCACAGAAGCTCCTTGGCAAAGGTGCAACGCTCTTGCCGGTGCCATGGCCCCACCTGGAGCAAAGTGACACAAAATGGCTCCCGGCCGGGTGGAGACCTGGGCTGCGCGAGGCCGCCCTACTCTCGGCTGCCCCGAGCTTGGCAGGGTCCGTCCTTGTCTGAAACGCTCTGAGGGTCTCAGCTGTGTGGGAAGGAGCCGGAGGGGCCACCGGGCGAGGACCGCCCTGCCCTCAGGTGCCACCTTCGGGTGCCGCCCTCAGGGGCGCCGCCTCGCGCCGGGGGGGCTGCCCGCGCTGCCGCTTCAGCGGCTTCCCGCCCTCACGGCCGCCCCGCGCTGCCGGCTCAGCGGCTTCCCGCCCTCATGGCAGCCTCGTGCTGCCGCCTCAGCGGCTTCGCGCGCGCGGGGCTGCTCTGCCACCCTCTGGGGCGCCGGCAGAGCGGAGCTACCTGCTCCCCGCGACAGCCTGGTGGCTACTGTGCGCAGCCCGGCCGACCGCCCTCCGAGGCAGCCCAAGCCTGCCCGGCCTCAAAGGCGAGGCCCGCGGAGGGAGCGGCCTTGGCTGCTGCTCCCGGCTCCGCAGGTGACTCCGAGCGGGTCAGCAGGGTCCTGAAAAGCTCTCACAGAAACCCAGTCCCCGCCCTGGCGCTGCAGAGTTGTGGTAACTTGACCTTTTCAGGTGAGAAAAAGGATGGAAAAAGCCACGAGGGACCCCAAGGCTGAGCCAGCGAGTGACATAAACCACAGTGGTAATTGATTTTCTTCTGCATGGGGGCAATATGCAGCCATATTTGAGAAAGAATATTCCAGATGTTTCCCGTGGTAGTCTAAATCTAGGCATTTACACAGATAGTTGAAGAATTTAAATGCAAGAAATAATGACACTTCAAGTGAAGAAAGGCATAATGAGAATGTAGGTGTCTCCTATTTTATCACATGCAAGAAAACAGTGCTGCTTAGTGAAAGAGAAGTGTAGTATGGAAACTCACTAAAATTAGGGGAAAAAGAAAGGGAAAAAATCCAGGAAAAATTACTTTCCAGCTTGATTCTTTAGATAGACTCTTGCTTGTTTAGTGAAAACTAGTTTTACTGAAAATCTGAAATTAAAAGCTTTTCCTTTTCAAATGTTTCTTAGAAGATTTTAAAATAGAAGGCCATGTCCTGCATGTTTATATATATATATATATGTATAAAATGAAACAGCAAGTACTCTAACATACTCAAGAAGAGAGAATTAGACATTTTAGTGATTTAAAAATGACCTTTCCCTTTTTTGTTTCAGGCAAATGAGAAACGGGTGCACATTGGATTGCCTGCCTCCAGTCAGATGTACCAGAATATTCCAATTAACCTTCGGGGAAAGGGAGCGGAAAGGTTGCGCTGTGATAGTAAGTCAAATATTTCTCATGTGTTTTTTTAGATTTTTGTGGTGCATAAATAGAACACTACAAATGTAGGAGGTAGCTAAGCTCCAGTTCTGTTCTGGATGACTATGGCAGGACCAATGAACTCTGGAGTAATTTTCTGCAGTGGAGCCTTGGGCCTTTCTGAGCTCTGACTGCATAAAAAAAATCAGGGAATGGGGAACACTAGGAATTTTTTAAAATACCACTATAAAGTAGTGATTTTTATGATGAACCCTAACCTTAATGTTTCACCTGGACTGAGTTTATGCAATAGGGGATTCTGAGATCCCAGATGGAGGATAGCTCAGGGGAAATACTGCAGCAGCCCTAGCTCTACTTCAGTAGCTGGTTTTGAGCTCTGCTTTTGCTGTGTGTTTCAGCTTTCACATTCTCAGAGCTCAGTGGCAGCTGTTTTCTAGCTGCTAGGAATCTATGCAAGCAGATGGGTTGCGTTTTCTGTCGTGAGTGCTGCATTGCCAAGCTTGGCGCTCGTATGTGTGCCACAAAACGACCCAAGAAGAGTTTACTGAAGTGGTAATTGATAATGTTGTGGTGGGAAGGGACAAATGTCCTTAGGGGAAGATCTGTATCTCAGCCACATACTTGTTCTGTCATGATTCATAAGAATATATTCCATTTCCTTCCTTACACGTTTACTCAATTTTGCATTAACAGATGATTAATCAAAAATACAAACTGATGTGCTTACATTTTAAAGTAATAAAGTATGACTTTTTGAAAAACAATCAAATTAGGATAGATTTGAAACAGAGTAACGTGCTTTAGTTTATTAGCTTAGAGATGAAGGGCAATGAAAACATTTGACTGAGAATGTGCCTGCATTTTTCCACTCGTTACCTGAACTTTTCTAAGTGTTCTTCTATGCAGACCTTGTTTTCATGTGAGCCAAAGGAACTATATTTTAAAGACAAATGTTTGGTATGAAGAAACCCTCACCAACTGAAATTAAAATATCCCATTTTGGGTAAAGGTTGCAAAAAATAATTATACTAAGAAATCTCATTTCTGGGGCAAGCAGACATGTGGAGTTTTCACTGATGTGAGTGCCTAAAATTGCACATCATGTTTGTTCCATATTCAGGAAACATCTGAATCTGTTCAGGAAACATCTAAGGAGATTACTAAATAAGATTGTTAGTAATATTAGGGCTGTCCTCAGAACATGTAGTATATTGAGGAAAGCATTATAGCAGTGCAGTTTATGATATCTGTAGCAGTTTTGTTCATAAACATGCTGCTTGCATTTAAAAAGATACATTTGCTCAAGAAATACTAATAGGAGTTTTCATTCAACATAGTAAAACGTGAAGAACTAACAAAATCAGTAAGTTAAGCCTGCCGCTCCCAAGAGATACTCATTATTACATCTTTATTAAAGATGCATTGCATCTTAATATATGAGAAACAAAAATAGTTTGTTTATAGATATTGACTGACTAGGTATTATTCTTGGAATGAGACATGTTTGCATAACGGAGAAATATAAAATAGGTTCTTATCTAAGTTTGAAGGCTATTTAAAGATAGAAGAACTCAAAGACATTAGAAATATCTGGACTGCATGTTCTTCGGAACATTCTCCTCCCCGCAGTCCCACTTTCAAAGAGTGATTTTGGGGGATCCTCTGCTACCTGATACTGGGAGGTAGATTCTGTTTCATTTCCGTATCTGTACTCAGCAAGGCTTGATGTGAGTCTTAGCTCTGTCTTGAACTACACTCATCCCATAAACCTACAGGATGCATTTCACATACAGGAGAAGCTGCAAGAGGGAGAATGAATGAGTCTGACAGCATGCCAGGTAATGACTGGGAGAAGAGGGTTTAGCCAGGAAGAGAAGAATCCTGGGATTAAAACTCCCATATGATGAAAATAATGGTTTAAGTGTTTGGATGAATAGCTAATTTATGACAGGATTTCTCAAAAGCAGTGTTTCTTTGCACTATCCTGCAGTCTTTCGTATGTGTTCTAAATCAGCACTATTTCTTTGGTGTCCAATTTCTTATGGCAGTCACAAAGCCAATCACTTCGTTTTCTTGTTTTCCTGTATGGGGCCTGATTATTCATTTTCACACACAGCACCTGTGTCCTCTTCTGCAATAACCCAAGAAAGAATATTTTCCTCTCTCGCCAGAGAAAAAAAGGTCTGAAGTTCCACGAAACAACTGGAAAGGGAAAGTAACTTTTTTTTTTTTTTTTTTTTTTTTTGCTATTAATAAGGGCAAATAAAAAACAGTGCTTGGAATCCCCACATTCAATTAAGTACAGTGACACAGCATTTAAGTTATATGTAAGATTTATTTCCATCTGTCATACACAAAGCAGCTAAGAATCTTCAATATGTAGCATTGGGAAGAAACCTCGGATTATGAAACCGTACAGTAAATCCGAAAACAGAAAAGAGGGCTTGCAAGGAATATGTTTTCCAAGGAAATATGGTTAGTTAGACCCTGGGGTGAGGAGGAGTCTTGGGGAGAAAAAAAAGCAAGCAGGTGGAAAAAAAATGCAAACCTTCAGTTTGAGAGCATAACCCTCTCCCCTGAAATGACTGAGTAGTGAAAATATTGTAGGACCAAAAAGGAACTCAACCTTTTTTCAGGATGCATTCTCCTATGTGTATATATGTATTTAGGATTAATCTCAATTGCTAGAGCACAATAATCCAGAAAATAGGGATTTAAGTTTCCTGCTGTACTACAAAAATAAAACTGGATACTTTTTTTCTTGTGTGGTAGGAGGTTTGACATATATATAGTTAATCAGGTTCACAGGAATTAAAACTACTGGGTTCTATGAAGATAATCCAGAAAGATTTGACACTACCTGCATAGTATTTGGAATTTACATATGTTTTGTTCTGGTTATACTGAGTTTAAGCACATTGACATAATTGTACTAAGAGGCAGAATGCCATGCCATACTCAAAGAAGGGTTATAATGAGGAAGTTAAGAACTAAAATAATCTCCCTAAACACAACTTTAAGAAAATCACATATTTGTCTGACCAGAATAGGCCCACCAAGAGGACTAAATAAGGACTGTGTAAATGAGGATGCTGTAAAATTTAGAGCCTTGCTAAGCTCAAAGCTAAGTCTCAAAATTGGCTTGCACAGTTAGAAAAGAACAAGCACATATTTAAGTTACATGAGCTAAAATTTTATTTCTGGTACCAATCCTTCTGCTCAGTTACATAAAAATATGCTGATTTTTACAAATGCAGCTCGGATACTCCCCTTACTAATTTCACTGGGAGCTAAGAAAATCAATTACTTTTTCAAAAGTCACTTGCTTTTACTTGTATGCCTGTATATAAAACCTAACAGACTAGCTGTGTCATTGGGCTCAGTCCCCCAGAGCTACAACCACGCAACTGCTTTGGAGAGGACTATCTGCCATCCTGTTCGGAACTAGGTGTGAGCCTCTGCTCCATTCGCTAGGCGCATACTCGCTGCATTCCCCTTCAGTCTCATTTAACATACAAAAAGTATTTTGATTTCTGATGTCCTAGTTAACTTGTCTAGTTTTGATGTATAGTCCTCCCTTTCCCTGCTCCCTTTCCCTGCTCCCTCCCAAATTCAGAGGCTTCAGTTATTCAAGATCGGTATTCATATTCTGTAGTACAATAGCAAAAGGTCTTCTGCGGTATGTAATGCAAAAAGTTACATTTCTCAGGGCTTTGATTTCACT